AGTATAAAAAGCTTATTCGAAGTGGTCTCCATTGGCTGCAATACAGTCCTTTAAACGTTGAGGCCAGCTATCAATAGAAGCACGCACTCTTTCCATGGGAAAATTTTTCACTGCCAAGCGTACGGATTGTTTTAGGGACTCCAAATTGTCATGGACTCAAAATATCACGTTTAAGCATTGTTCGGACTAGGCGAGTATTTTAGTCGAGTACCGAGTAATTTAGTAGCTAAATGTGTCTGAGCACCAAAAATTTAGTCAAGTAGGTTAGTAAATAATTTAGTGTAGTCAATCCATTTTGTTCTATTTTTTTGGTCGAGTAGCGAGTAGTTTAGCCACTAAATTACTCGGTACTCGACTAAAATACTCGCCTAGTCCGAACAAGGCTTTAGAGCAAGCCGTACTCTCTAAAACTGACCATAAATCATAATCCAGCGGATTAAGATCGGGACTAGACGACGGCCAGTCTTCAGCTCTGATGAAGTCCGAAACGTTCGTTTCCAACCAAGACTGCGTAGACCGCAGCTTTATGACCTGGCGCCGAGTCTTGCTGGAAGGACCATTCTTGATTATTGAACATGGTATTGTTAAGGGGCTTCACTACCTTCTCAAGAATGGTATCCTGATACACTTGTACCGATGTTTTGATACCTTTTTCACAAAAGTATGGCCCAGTCACTCCTTCATAGCTAATACCCCACCCAGTGGCGTACCTAAGGGGGGGCGGTGGGTGCGGTCCGCACCGGGCGGCACTTACCCTGGGGCGGCATTTTAGCATTTACTTTTAGTTGTATATAGCAATTTATTCATTTCATATTTATTTTCTTTCTTGAATAATAAATGATTATTATGATTAATATAAGTTTAATATTTGATTTATATAAATTATGATTAACTATATTATGATTTCGAATATTATTCATCGGTGCATATTAGTGTAAATTTTGAATTCTAATTCAAGAACAAGGTAGTAATTTGATTTTATTGTATTCATTAAAATTCTTTGAATTCGTAAAAGTATCTTTTCGATTTCTTCGGCAATTTTTCCTAACTAAATTTTTTTAATATCAGTTTATAAATGTCATTTCTTTTGAAAAGTTTATATGATTACTTTGAAGTAATATATCAATATTTTTTTATTCATCAATTTTTCTTTTGAAAAGCAGGGCCGGCGGAAGGCGGTCTGCTAGGTCTGCAAAGCATTAGGGCGCCGGCATAAGAACTATCTTTTTCAAACAACAAAATCTAAACGAGACAAAACAAAAATACTGACGAAGTTACAATTTCAGAACTCGCAAATAGATAAATATTCTCAGTCCGTTTTGAAGAATTGTATTTGGATTGANACAGAATTATAAAGGAAATAAAAGAACGCTTCGATCAATTGCATGGTCTTGTAAGAAAATATTCGTGTATAATACCGTGTAACCTACTAAATGAAGAATTTGAATGTCAAATAAATGATTTGATCGACATTGATAAAGAACAGTTCCATATTGAAAGAAAAAGGATCCAGGTTTTTATGGCTGTATCTACACTAAAAGAAGAGGTAAAATATTGGAAAAACGGGGAGAAGGGCCCTCTTGACCTGCTAAAATTTATTCAGCAGTATAGGTTGGAAAATTCTGTTCCCAACATTGTAATTTTGTTAAGAATTTTTTTAACAATTTCAATCAGTGTCGCTAGTTGCGAAAGAAGCTTCTCAAAATTGAAGTTGATAAAAAATTATCTTCGTTCTACAATGAGTCAATCAAGACTACAAAATCTTGCAATATTGTCAATAGAATAAGAATTTACAAATAATATAAATTTTGAGAGCATTATACACGATTTTTCTAGTATGAAAGCTACAAGAGTAGATATTATATAAATATGTTTACGAGTGCATACAAATAAGTCTAAAAAATTTACTCTGTGTATTAATTAATATTGATTAAATAACTTAATAATTTATTTATGTGTATCAATTTATAAAAACCACTATTTGATTGACTTATAATAGAAAGGGCGGCAGACTGGAGATCGCCCCGGGCGGCAAAAGTTCTAGGTACGCCACTGACCCCACCAAACCATCACTGAAGTCGGATAGTGCCCACGTTGCACTCTGTCGACTAATTGGGAAACTTTCTTACAGCTTTGAGCATAAATACGGTCATTTTGTTTGTTAAAATGTTGCTCAATTGTAAAAAATTTCTCATCCGTAAACAAAATTTTTCTATGACCTCACTTTGCGTACCGCTTCAGTAGTTGTTTCGATTTTACCAAACTATTCTCTTTTAAATTATCAATTAAGAAATGACCAGTACGTTTCTTATAGGCTGCAAGTCCTAAGTCATCTTTTAAAATACGCGACATGGTTCTAGGTGATATTTTCATCTCCCGAGATAAAATCTTTTGCTTTCGGACAGGATTTCTTCGAATTCTTTCCCTTACTGCTTTGACCACCTTTTTTGTACGAACACTACGTGGACAGCCAGATCTTTTTCTGTCACAAACAGAGAAGGTCTCATTGCACCTACTAATAGCCCGGTACACAAACATTTTACTAATACCAAGCGTATGGAGAGTTTTAAAAATTGCATTTGGCTCCATACCTACTTTGTGTAATGCAATCACAGCGATTCGGTTCTCTTTATCACCCCACTCCATTTTCATCATCATCATCATCATCAACAGCCCACAGTCGTCCACTGCTGGACATAGGCCTCTCCCAATCTACACCACTGAGCCCGGTCTGCGGCTCTCCTCATCCATTTTAATATCGCCAAATATTGTACAATATATTGGCGCCAAAATGAAAAAACTCAATGAGCAATCATATAAAAATGACAGATTCAAAATTAACAATATTTATGGGCAGACTAAGTACAATGCACGTAACTACCAAAGATTCGATTCGACATTGTAAACAAAAATTAAATTAGAAAAAGTAAATTTTGATTTAACTTTCAGTATATACTGGAGCAAAGAAACTTGTGCCTTCTAAGCGTGACTTAATTAAAAAATTGAAATAACAAGAAGATAGGGTTTATCTGCGATAATTATATTTCAAACATGCGGAGGTTGTTCACAACTTGCACTACAGTCAAAAAACTTTGCTCTTGGAGTAAACGTGTGTATGTGACCTCTTGCTATGAAATTATGTAATCATTAAGCTTAAAATTTACATTATACCCCTTTAATGACATGATTGAAAGACCATTATATTGTAAATGATTTTTAATATGTCAAAAACATTCGAAAAGATCAGAGTGGGCCACACTAAAATATTTATATCGATAGTTTTAATATTAATTATTATTCTGACTGGTGGTAGGACCTCTTGTGAGTCCGCACGGGTAGGTACCACCACCCCGCCTATTTCTGCCGTGAAGCAGTAATGCGTTTCGGTTTGAAGGGTGGGGTAGCCGTTGTAACTATACTGAGACCTTAGAACTTAGATCTCAAGGTGGGTGGCGCATTTACATTGTAGATGTCTATGGGCTCCAGTAACCACTTAACACCAAGTGAGCCGTGAGCTTGTCCACACATCTAAGCAATAAAAAATAAAAAATAAAAACTCATAATTACAGAAAATCAAACACGTAATTAGTATCTTGTAAAAACCACCATCACTAGTTCCCAAAGTGCAAAAATAAAACTAGATTTTATAAGATACTAACTGACCTGGCAGTCTTCGTAGTGCCTCAATCGATAAATAAAAGACCTAAACTTTTGTATAAAATAAACTTAAAACAAACAAAAGGAATCGGTCCGACGGGGGACGCATCAAAGGAAAAACAAAATTGTTATTTTTATTTAATTCCGAGCATTTCATATTTATATACCTTTTAAACCTTCTCTGGAATAAATAATTAAAGACCAAAATTAGCCAAATCGGTCCAGCCGTTCTCGAGTTTTAGCGAGACTAACGAACAGCAATTCATTTTTATATATATAGAAGATAGAAGAAGAAGATAGAAGATTATAAACAGTTTATTTCTAAGGTTACCAATTTCTTATCCACATACAAAAGCTACCAGCTTTTAATCAGAGTGCTGACGCCACAGTGTACCGAAATTAATATCTTCTATTTAGAATACCTTGTACCGATTTGCATGACGCCGTGGACAGGGGAAAGTGGAAAAACATCTTAAGATTGAAGCTCATGGGTGATGGTGGTCGCGACCCTCAGACATGAGGAACACGATTCGAGGAGGAGTACCGATTTAGGATAAAAAGTATTACAAGAAGTATAATAAACTATCATAATGTAAAAGCATCATTTTATTCTTGCATAGTAAACAGTGTGCTTAATATAAAAAATGCCGTTCAGATCTTAGCCTTTGTACCAAAATGGATACTTATAAAAGTTACAACGAAAACCAAGGACTTAATATTCTCATCCAAACCTCAAATGAACATGGAGCTCTGTGGTGATAAAAAGATGGATTTATCTTTTAATGTTTTCGAATCTTATCTTATTTGTATAACGAAGAAAGCATAAGTGCGTGCCAATTTTTCTTTTGATATTGCCGGAATGTACCGATTTTTACTATTACTTAATTATAAACGGCTCATAGTAAAGTGTGTTGAATCCGCCAGTGTTATTAATACCAAATTATTATTCGCAGAACGAAAGTGCTTGCAATTTTGAAATAGGAAAAAATCGCAAAAAATCGGAACTTACAGTTCGTATGACTCACAGCGACTTTTAAGTTTAGATCTTGATGCGGCTCCTCAACGATACGAAATACTAGCTCTTACCCACAGATCGATCGTTGGGTGGATAGGTAATTTCTTACAAGCGTCATCCGAGCTTCTTCAAAAATCCCTTAGTTTTAATAACAATAATTGAGAAATTTAGATACCATATCCTTGGGAATAGTAGATTCGTGTCTCGGCCGGTTACAACGAGCGCGTCGACATATTCCCTCGGAAAGCATCCAGAACGGTTGTGTCGTATTAATTTCGGGACATGTATAAAATAATATTCAAAGCGTGTGTACATAATAATATGTAAAATGTGTAGTAGTGCTTTCACAATTTTGTTATTTATATCTACAAGTAATATCCAAATTACAAGTATGGATACAGTGCCAAAAGGTATAAACAATTTAACGTATTTGAAAAGAGATGATCATGCTCTATTCAGTTCTAAATATGACGATGAAACTCTTACGAAAGGTGACTTAAAATTGTGGAAAAGACGTCGCAGAATGTCTGAAATTTTGGACAGAAGATCAAATGTAAGCGGTGAGGTCAAAGAAACTAGACTACCAATAAAGTATTCCAAGTACGAAGTGAATGAATTGGTTTCATCGGAAGCTAACAACGAGGTATTAATAAAAAAATTCAAAGAACTTTGGCCAGTAAATTTATGGCGTCGCTTTGGCCTGTTTACCGATGATTATCTACACTTGGTGAATCCATACTGGCTGAGCTTCGCCCCGCCACATCCTTTACTGCATTATGGCCTCGGTGCATTCTACATCATGATGACCACTGTTGGGTCCACTGGCAATGCTTTGGTGATGTTCATGTATTTTAGGTTAGTTACTTTAATTAGTTGTTTCTTTAGTAAATTCACCTATAGAAAGTCACGGCTCTATGAATTATTTCTGATGCCATTGGTTTAAACACGTACCTACGAGACAAAAATGAGCACACTCAAACATCGAATAACAAATTTCGCAAAGATACTTCGACTTCAGATACTGTAATCAAATTAGAAATGATTTCTTTCAGTCGACATTTTTAACCGAGATTTATAATATCATATTTAAATAATGTTTGCATTGTTTCGTGTTAACCGGCTATTACCGTGCATAGATGACCAATTATTAGATTTAATCATTTACTTAATCACTTATTGTTAAACATAATAATATAAGTGCAAACGATATCTAAGTAACGTAATAATTAAAATTTATCTCGTTTAAAGGAAAATATGGTATCAGTAATATTAATTAAAACTCATTAGTTAACAATCGTTAGTTAGTGATTTAGAAAATTACCACAATTTTAAGTGAATATGATAACTCGTATGGAACATCTTATTATACAGCAGGTAGTAAAATTGAAATTTTAAAAGATTACAGTAAATTGGAATCTGAAATTTTGTATAATATTGATACGAACCCTGAAATTCCACAGTGAAATTTTTCAATAATTTTAACGCCACAACGAACTTACACTGGATGTTTACATGAAACGCTCGAATTGCTCGCAAGGGATGTGGGGACTATAAAATTGCCAACCACTGCGTACACACGTGAATCTATTGTGACCACCGCAGATCATTTTCCTTATTCTTTGTTGGGCCACGAAAATCTTAACTGAGCTACTTTCCTTGGACAATTTTCTTCCTTTCTCTGGGCGGAAAATGTGTTCTCTGACAAGTGAGTGTATTTTCGTACACAGCTTGTAAAAAGGAGTTTCTTCTGGACCGGCAGCAAGAATCAGCGTGCACATGTGCCTTTTTTTTTTGTTCAGGAGGAAATCGCCGGCCTTCCGCCCTCCCTGGGGATGGAGGGTGGAGCATGTCGGAGTCGACTGACTAAAACCTCCTGTCGCTCAACAATCCACGTCCGAACCTCGCATGAGACAGAACTCATGAAAAGGCAAAGGGGGGAAAGTGAAGCGTTTAGTGCGGAGCACATCTCTCCCATCACCCTCCCCCTCGGGACGCCGGACCGGCGGTCGTCGGCGCCACGACCACCAGCCCTCTCGGTCGGCAGGCTATCCGGAGCCTGCCTACATGGCGCCGGTTAGAATGGGTTATCCTACGGAATACCCCGTTGGGTCAGAACCAGCGTGGGTCGAGGATAGCCAGCCTTCCAACACCCGGATGCTCTTACGTAAAACGCGTGCAGAGCAGCTTGCACGTCGTCTTCTTAGGCCCTCTTCGCCGGTACCCAGACCGACATGTGAGGGTGACCCGAAACACTTAAAGGGCCAGGGCTTGAGCGAGGTCCACCTTTCTGGCCCCGCACATGTGCCTTAGCAACTAATTAAACTAAAAAACTAGAATTGCATTGAAAACGATTTTACGTATATATTTATAGAGTAGGTTTAAATACCTATTCTTTCATAATTGTAAAAACCTTTTAAATTAAAAAAATATAGTCTATAATAATACATATCGTCATCGATAACACTAGCACACATTTTACTAAGGAAGTTAGATAGAGAGACGTATTTATTGCGAACGGCAAAATGTAATGTCGTTACCGGCTACAAAGATTCATATGAGAAAAGACCTCGAAAAACTATTTATTCTTTATCCTATCTTCAGATCTTTCTTCGTCGTTATTTATCAGGGAACGAAATGTTTGAAAAATTTATCAACTGTCGCACACTTTATTGGTTTATTTCGTGATATTTTTTTAATGTTCCATCAGTATTTCGTATTACAAATTATTGTATCTCTAAAACGTTTCAAGAATAATAACTACATTTACATGCTATAATTATATTACTAAATTATATAAATAATATCGTACACGGCCACAAACGCTTCTGGCAAGTTCGTCAGAGTTCTAGTTTAGTAAAATCACTTTAAAATCTGTTGACAAAATGAGTATTATCGATTTCCGGATTGCGTTTTATGTGATCGGTACGGGAAAAAGTTTATGTCATTTACAAAAGTTCCCACTGCCGAAAACTAGTCAAGATAGTTCGAGAAGAAAATAAAAGGTGATAGAAAAGTTAAGGGAAACAAAAAAATGGAACTTGATTTCAGGAAATATATTTTTATTGCTTAACTATGATGACCAAATCGTTGGTATGTATTGTGAAAGGTAGGCACCATGTCCTTTCTGGTAAAAACTTAGAAGACAGAGAGAGAGGAGTATATATATTGCACACCAAAACCAAATTTGTACAATAGGTGGTCTTATCGCTAGAAGCGCTCTTTTCCAGACAACCATTTTTATGTAGGAAAATTCTGACAAAAATACGGCCGGTATGTTGCCGTGTACAATTCATTCAGAGGGATCTATCAAAATAGACACCATTAAACATATTCTTAGTGATCTTGTGTACCCAAGTACAGAACAAAAAACTTCCTTTTATCATGGTCATGTGTTAGGGCTAAGGGTCCAAGCAGCTCTTTATGGACTCAGAAAATTGACTTATCGATCCAAAACCGAAATAGACAGCAAAGCAATCTTGAAGTGTGCATTTAATTCTGTGAAATAGCATAGACTGTTCACAGTAAAAAAAACCAAGCAACTTTCGTCCGCGTTGCTTGGAGTTCAGAGGTACGTAGAACTTCGCATTCTAGCCTCTCTGGCATCTACTGGCTCACTTTAGAGATTGAAAAATGAGGCCGCGAATTTATCATACTGAAAGTGACTGAAAGGGCACACGCTCTCTAAGGCCTCACTCCAGCGATGTCAGTGCTACCGTTCGGCATATCTCATTTGGGTATAATCATTGAAAACTATAGCCGTCAGTTTACCTTTGCTTATTGACAGCGGAGTGGATCGTCACATTCTCTAAACAAAATAAAGATAATCCACACATAACGTGAGCATCAAATTAATTGTACTCGTGACGATTAAATGAAAATTGCCGGAGAGCCATCAAAAAAGGTCATAACTACTGTGACTCGGTAACTATTTTATACGACTTTAATTGATCAAATAAACTAGACAGAATATACAGGGCCCTGCGATACTTTAATACGACAAATATTTTTTTGTATGGAAACTAGCGACATCTTGTTGCGGATGCCCCTAAACTTATATGTTGTTAAAGTAAAGGCATTTAATTATTGTATGACTAAACACAGAAAAAAAATCATACGAGTCTTTATTTGTTATAGACAAATTGATTAAATTTTATTATATTGTGATTTCTAAAAATTTACTAAGTCCTTCATTACAAATAAAACATAGGATAGGTAATATGTTACTGCCATCTATAGGAGCAATGAGAAGCTAATCGAAGCGAAGCCATCTAGTGGCCGACGCCCGTAAGCATTTTTGTTGGGTGCTTGAATTGTTTATCTATAACTAATTTGTGTATTATCTATAAGAATATACGTGAAGCTAAACGGTAAAACTATTTATGACAGCTTCACATTTCAAATTATTATAAAATACGAGTATTCGTTACAATAATAGACCTTTACAATGTATCATAACATGTATGAGTAAAGATAAAACAGTAACATGTTCTCTCCTCTAATTGTCAACCGATTTTCTTTTTTTTGTGCTGTAACGATTGGAGAGCTTTAGTAATATCAATAAAACAATATATAAAGAATTTTTTTTCCAAAAAAAGTCTATTATGGTTTTTATAGTTATTTTCAGAACAGAGAGCTATAAACCACTTTATATTGAACTTGACAAAAAACAGGAGGAGCTCGAAGCTTCGATCCGCCCTAATGGCATTTTTTTTTATAATGGCGTGATGATGACTGATTTATTTCCTACAACATTTACAACAAATATTGTCCAAAATTCAAAGAAATATATTTTTATAACGCTGAAACAGCGCCCGTAGCAAGGATTTGATACAGATAATTATCGTTATAATACAGACAAATTAACTTCCCACATTCAGGGCATCAAAATACAAGAACGCCGAAACTAAATATGAAATATTTACACAAAGACCGGTACCTAACCTTTTTCTACCTGAATCCCGACAAATTTTCAAGGACTAATAGACAGTACTGGTATTGAAAAACTGAACCGATTACTCCTTAATTAACTACGATTAATTAATTGCCGTCAATCCGAACTCCAAGTCATGCGGTGGTGCCAATAGCGAGACCTAATCTTCTTTCTTCTGAAGATATTAGAGGCTACATGAATCAGAGACTAAGATTAGTTATTTTAAAGTTTTGATTTGATTATCAACATCATATTCGAAACAAAATATAGGCCAGGTAGTTATAACGGCAGCTTTATATTACATATATTTTTTTCAACTCAAGCGTCATTCGACATTATAGCTAATAATACATTTGAATATTAACTATTTTTGCTAATAACGAGAGCTATCGTAAAACTGAAACTCACTGACTTTTCAAACTGCCCTAGTTTTACCGTTGTACACTCATAGGAGTTATATCGTTTACAGATCATTAAGTACCTCTTGAGTACTTTAAGATATTCTTGCACATTAATAAAGTTTAAAACTAGGTAAAAGCACCCGTGACTTCTATGAGTAAAACTCATAAAGGTTACAAATGAGAAAATTTACGTTTTACCGTTGTACACTCATTGGAGTTGTATCGTTTACAGATCATTAAGTACCTCTTGAGTACTTTAAGATATTCTTGCACATTAATAAAATTGAAAACTAGGTAAAAGCACCCGTGACTTCTATGAGTAAAACTCATAAAGGTTACAAATGAGAAAATTTACGTAAACAACATTTGTTCCCATTCGAAAATATTTACAGGTCATTAACATGGAAAATGTCGTTATTTCTGGCTGAATCGCTTAGAGTTAGCGGTAACTGTGCATTATACTGTCCTCCTACAAGTATTAATTTGCTAAGAATACCACCGGGAAACTTGCCAAATTCGGTCTATACTTCAACGAATGTCTCAACCATTATTAATTATGCATTTAAAGTCGTTTGCAACGATGTTTTCAAAGACAGACAAATGAATTTTATTATGAAGTATTATTGATATATGTACTTGTTGTATCTGAAGACATCCTAAAAGAATAATAATCTAGAACCCGATTGCAGTACCATCTACCGAGTCAAATTATAAACCTAAATCGACCTGAGACACACAAACACACATAAAGGTTCATCTAAATTGGTCTAACTGCTTAGTAGAAATTAAAAAAAAACGAATGTCAAAAGGACAAAATAGGAAAATAACTATTTTGTTTCGCCTATTTAGTAATAGGAAAATATATATCAATAGGTATATTATGGTATCAATACCTTACGGCACAGTTTCACGTTTATAAGCATATTTCCAAAGTTTGAATACTATTTTTTGACTGACTATTTTTTACTTTTAATCATCCATACTTTACATATTTGAACACTTTTGAGGAAGCCTTTACCTACTAAAGTAGGGGTTATGTAGTTTCACTAAAGATTTAATTTCGTTAATTATTTTACTAACATAAAACTCACAAACGTATAATACTTACTTACTTACTTATTAGTAAATAATGAATTTAAATTGCGTCGTTCAAATACTATACTCATAATCACATTCAAAACATGTACCTAATAATTTGATATTATACCTAGAAATGTCTTTAATACTGATAATATAATATGCAAAAGTTAGTTGTTTAAAAATGTTCTTCGAAAAGTTAATATTTTCCCAAGAATATATACATACATACCTATAATTCTGTTATTTTTTAAACTGCCGGAAATAAAAGGCCTTTTTATTTTATTAGTTTTTTTTATCCATTTATACACATTTGAATACCGATATCTGACGTTAAGTGCTGTTATTGTAGTATCCGACAAATAATAAAAGGAACGAAATAATGAAAAAACAGATGAAAATGAACCATTTGTTTCTTGACAATAAAATCAATATTCGTGAAAAGGGTCTGAAAGCAATTTTCGAATCGTACAAACGAAAGTACTAAATTTGCGTTTTACTTTTGCCTACGATACAAACTTTCAAAGTAGTAGGTATAGAGGAATGAAAAAATTGCAAAAATCGTTGGTTATTTATCAGTAGACCCATATGACTTGATAGACAGGCGTTTTAATCATAATTAGGGTTAAAAAAAAACACTATTGAACTACAATCAACTCATAAATTATCTTGTAGTTATTTTTCTTGTTTTTCATATTAACATTTACCCATATGTCTGGTGAATTTCAGATGCCGTTCCCTGAGAACGCCGGGAAATATTCTAGTTGCAAATCTAGCATTGAGTGATTTTATGATGCTTGCGAAGACACCTATTTTTATATTTAATTCGTTTAACCTCGGACCAGCTTTAGGCAAAACTGGTATGTACCTTTCTTCGATTATTGGATACGGGTAAAGCAATTACCATAACTATCATCGGTTCTTTTATTCAAATCGAACCTTCGAAATTTTATACATAATTCAAGCTTACTTATACATCATTCTAGTATTTTTTATTTTTCTTCTTTTCGAAAATGTATTTTACATATATATTTTAACACCTTAAATTTGAAACAGGCCCTTCCACTGGTGCATGCCCGTGATGAACATCAATCATGTTTTAATTTCAAATAATACATATGGTGAAATTAGAGAACAAGTTAAGTATGTACTACCTGTTTCTAATTAAACTTTTGTTTATTGTAGGTTGCGTTATTTATGGATTTGTTGGTGGGTTAACAGGAACTACGTCAATAGCAATCCTAACCGCAATATCCTTAGATCGGTACTGGGCGGTCGTGCGGCCATTGGAACCACTACGAGCTCTGACTGCCATCCGTGCTCGACTCATGGCAATAGCTGCATGGATTTACGCTACATTATTTGCCATAATTCCAGCCTTGGATATAGGTTACGGTCGCTACGTGCCCGAAGGATTCCTGACAAGCTGTAGTTTTGATTATCTAACTGAAGAACTTCCGCCTCGCTATTTCATTTTTGTATTTTTTTGCGCAGCCTGGCTCGCGCCTTTCTGCACCATATCGTACTGTTATATAAGCATATTTCGGGTTGTCGTATGTAGTCGAAATATTACTACAAAAAATCAAGAACAACGGCTCTCCACGAGACATGTAAAGGAGCGAACAAAACGTAAAGCTGAAATCAAACTTGCCTTTTTGGTTATAGTTGTTATTGCATTGTTTTTTATTTCATGGACACCGTATGCTATTGTTGCACTTTTAGGAATATTTGGAAAAAAGGATCTTATCAAACCGCTAACATCCATGATACCTGCATTATTTTGTAAAACAGCCGCTTGTATTAATCCTTTCATTTATATCATTACTCATCCTAAATTTCGAAAGGAATTCAAGAGAATGTTGTCCAGAGATAAAACAGAACGAAGTGGAACAATAAAAACTATTGGATATTATACTGAAGCGAGTAAATTCCATCGTCCTAGTAAGGACTTCAGTGACACTGAAGTTGAAATCGTTGAAATGAAAGATATACCGTACCGAAATGAAGACACAACTAACACAGTTGAAGAAAAAATTAATACGGTGTCTGCTAAATTAGCTAAACGAGAAGGATCGCAAAAATCGCAAAGTAGTATCAGCATGAAAAGTTTCGAAGAAAACGTTGTGAGTCCCCCTTCGTGGTATTGTAAACCGAAATTCGCCAAAAAAAAGAGTTTCCATCGTCGTTCTACACATAGTATGGTTTCTCAAAATACCGATCCAACTGTCTAATTAAGCATATCCATTTAATTAAGCGCTAGTATCGTAGTAATATTACATGTCGTAGCTGCTAGTGAAATTGGATAAATAATATATTGTCACGAAAATAATGTGGGCACCTAACGACTAATTAGGTATACTATATTATCCCAATTTTTATTTCTTAAATGAGCAGTTTGCAATTTCTCACACGAAGAACACAGAGAAAAACTCACAGAAGTTGTTTCCTACACAGGATTTGTCTTAATCGGACCACAGAGAGGTTTGTTTACATTTTAATTTATTTTTTCTAATAATTAAAATTGAAATCAAACCAAGTAATAAATAAACTAAATTAAGATAAATTATATTAATATAAATATAAGATAGATTTAAGAAATAAATTAAAATCAAAACTACTTTTGTTTATTAATTTAAGTTTATACACAAATGTACAGTGGCGGACGTAATGCCAAAAACATTCTTTACTAGTCAACCAAAGATGTTGTAGAACAGTCTGTTTCCCGACCTTTTTTGTGCCGTGCCCCGCTGCAACCTTTCTAAAATTTTTACATCATTGCAAACATAAAAAATATGCTTTGTTTACTTAAGAAACATAAATGATAAGTTTTAGGAAGATATCACTATGAAATTGTTATCAGAACACAGTAACGTTATATATTATATCAAAACAAGTAATAAATAACTGAAATTCAATTCAAAATAATTTTAATACAGATTTTCTATATTAATTTAGTGCAGTTGCCCCCCTTAATTATCAAATTGCCCCCTTGTGGGGCGTGGGCCCCCCGTTGGGAAACACCGGTGTAGAGAGTTCTTTGGTAGGTGCATTACTTTATTGAAAAGAAAAGAAAATTACGGTTTAATGACACGTTGTTTATTGGTATTAAATTATTTTCGAGGCTATCAATAATTTACAGTATTTTGTGGGACCTGTTAATCTGCGACGTTTACATAACTTACAATTTACAACCAACAACGAACGTAGGTAATTGAAACGTCGGAAATAATAATAAAATGACAAAAAAAAAAAGTTAGATTGTGGCGTTAGCCATCACAGAACACAAGATATTTGACAGATGCCTGAATCTCGCTTACGATATTTTCAAAATAAGCTCGCATATATCCACAAGTTTCGAACAACAACATTCGGACCGTCGCTGCGTCGGTCTACCGAGCAATATCACCCGCTCGGTGGAAGATCTTCCCTTTGTCGTTTAATCTCTCCAAACTGGGTTGAACTGTAGCGGCGAGTGGCGACCTAAAACCTAAACCGTAAAAGTAGTTTTAATTGTGTCTACGCGGAAATAGAAGAAAATACCATACCTGTAAATTTCTATGTAAATCTAATCTGACTTTCATTTAGAAGTAATTACAAATGACCTATAGTATCAAAAGCCGCAATAGGTATACGTATGTAGCGGGTAGCCATCTTAGAACACAAACTCAGTGGAAGATCTTCCCTTTATCGTTAACACCAGACATTTGTACATATACATATTATTATATGAAGGTAAATACATTGTAGAGTTCAGACTAATATGATTACCGTTGTAAACATTATGAACTACGATTATAATAAATTGATGAGGCTTCTAAAACAAAAACAGTAATGCACCAATGTGTAATAAAGTTATGGCTAACATTTGATTTATGTATGCTTGTACAATTAATATATAGAAGTTAATCAGATCTCTATTTTGTTTCAATTAAATATACATAAAATGGATTTGATATCAATGTCACCCTACCCAATGACATGGAATACCACCCGGTATTTTATATATCTATGTAGTATATTTTACTTATGTATTAACGCCAACGCGGCAAAAATTTAATGGTTAGCAAATGTGGACAACCTAAACCTAAATTATTGATGATTAAATATAAAATGAACCACTTTTTATAAAATCAAAACACCCCACTTTCCACCTGGTCTTGTCTGCCCTACCCCTAGAGTGTATATAAAAACCGGAAGCGCGGAGGAAGAGCAGTCCTCGCCCGCTTCGACGGAGCATGGAAAAAGTGCGAGGCAGAGCGGCTGAGACTACCAACGCCTACCGCGACCAACAAGCCGAAGCTACGAAGCGGAGCACGAGTGACCGTGCTTCGGCACGCAAGGGAGGAAGGGCTGCTCTTCCCGCAGCGCCGGAGATAAGCTGGATTCAAACTTAACCTCAAAAATCAGCAAACAATAAGAAAACCAAATGATAGCTTCGTGCGAAAATAAATAACAAGTTGCTGCGTGCAAACAATAAGGCTACTATATAAAAACATAAAGATTGCTTTTTATCGGCTTTTTAATAGAATTTTTGCCGCGATGGCGTTAATACGTAAATACCGAAACTATTTATACTGATATTTGAGTCGTCTATTATCAAAGGCGGCAATCTGTACATTTGGACAAAAAATTTTTATTGATATGTCAATACAGATTTATTTGAATATAATCGTCTCCTTCAAAGAATACGGTTCAAAACCTGCATTAAATAAAGGTTAATAGTTAACCTGTTATTTATCTAAGATGTCGTTCCGAAGAGTTTTGTGACTGCCAATGGAATACAAAGTCAATAATTCGTTTTTCTGATTTACCAATCATTGTCCAAAAGTCAGATTGCCGCCTTTGATAATAGTCGACTCATTTCTGGTATATTATTTTATTATATACTCTTCAGCTGTTCTAAAAAGTATTTTTGAAACCTTTCTTCAAAAGATAGAAATAGAGAATTAAAAAAATTGGTTCTCTATTTCAGATAAGCTCATCTCAGTTTTTTTTCTTCCTACCTATGCCTTGAGAGGCTCTTTCAGCTGCGCCTTGATGTGTAGGTGAGCTCACGGGGCTCAAACCGAAAGTGTTGCTAGCACTGACCCAAGCAAGAGCAGTGCTTTGCAGAATCTACCACCAGGTCGGAAACGCGACCCACTGAGAAGATCCTGCGAGAAACTCAAAGGGCTGTTTCTGTTGATTAAATTACTCGCCGAACACTTCGTCGCAACCGATGGGTTCGACGAGAACTGTGACCGATCGTTAGGACACGTATCTACGTATTTAATAAGAAAAACGTATTGCTCTCTGTGTTTGCATAACCGGTGCCATCCTTCACACCGGAACGTATGACTCTTTACTGCAGAAATAAGCAGGACGATAAGTCATAGCAGGATGATAAGTCTTGTTAAACAATAATTTTGTACGTAGGCAGTCCACCTCATAGTAAGAAGTTACTCAAGGCACCATCGCAAATGGACAGAAAGAAGCAATGCCAATTTTATTGCGGAAAAAACAATTCAATAGCTTTCAATTGTTTACGTTCTAAAACAAAGTTTCTTTTGAGTATATAGCCTCCAGGTGAACTGAATATCTCAATTAGGTTCGATTTAGTATTTTTTTATTGGCATGTTATGATACCTTTTCTTGTTACTGGCCTTTGCAAACCATAAAATGAGACTTTTTGGTGTAAATAGTTCTATTTTGTTAATTTATTGTCTCTTCATGTTTATATATAAAAACGGTGGTTTATTAACTGTTTAATATCTGTGAAAATGCGCAAATGTATGAAAATGAAAGAAGGCCGCTGAACGTAGCTTCTCGAAATCTTCCAAAAAATTTAATGAAAAAGTATCAATCAGTAAATAACCACCATTTTACTGAGATTATATTTCATCCCCAATCATCTAGTTTTATTTAATTTCATGCCAATTGATTAATGTTTCAAATTAATTAACTATATTTCATTTAGCTCCAATTTATTTTAAAAAAAAGATTAGATGTATGATGAGAGCCTTTGCCTTACCAGATAGAAAAGTAGAACTACTACAATAAAATGAAATTGTCAATGTCAAACATTGTTAACTGCAATCAACAATGTTTCCTAACCTCTATAATCCAATATTAAACAAAATTATAAGACAAAATCACATACTTTTCAAACAAATTCATACCAAGAAATGTTACAAATTCCTTTTCTTTGGATCAGACTCTATAGCTCTAAGTAGCTTACGAAAAGTGAATGAATTAATGTAAGTTTTAAATGTTAAGGTAATTTAATTCTATTTTTACATTGAACGAATTTTTATCAAAATCTACTAACAGATTTCTTCCAGGAAAATCCGGAAAACAACTGATTGCCTCGATTTGGTTACCAATAATAACTCTACAACTAAACTAGAAATTGAAAAGTATGCCCAATCCGAAAACATAAAAACTGTGCGATGGCCCCTCCAGGACTTACAGCCAGCAGAATACGATATGGGATTAATTGTAGCCTTTGGCCATTTGATAAAAATAGATCTTCTCAAGAAATTTCCTTTGTAAGTATAAACTTTTGGTACATATTTAATTCATCTAGATTTTTTAAAACACTCAAGATATTTATTAGTATTTTTTTAAAGAGGTATGGTAAATGTCCATCCAAGCTTATTGCCGAGGTGGCGTGGTGCAGCTCCAATAATTTATACATTACTGCATGGAGATGAAATTACTGGAGTTACTCTTATGAAAATAAAAGCGGATATTTTTGATGTGGGTAAGATTATAGTAATACAATTATTTAGCATTACTTACATACAATTATTTAGACTTCCAGCGGCTGGACTTAGTCAGTTATGCTTGAAATCCTTTAACATGAAATTTTTCTATTTACCTTACAATCTTGTGTTTTGGGTAAAACAAAACTTCTATATTGGTCTTTAGGTTGCACAATATAAACAACTGAAAGTTCCTTGGTTTTTTTTCTTACATCGAGTATACATTGTAAAAAGTTTGGACCCTGTTGGGTATAGCTAGGCCAGACTAGAACCTAATCAGTCAAAGGCCTCTAACATTGCAGGTCAGTGTTTTAATCGCAACTGTTAATAAATATATGCTAAAAAAAATTAATCTTGTTATAGAATTTTTATTCTAAAATATTATTCCATAATTTCCAAAAAGTTATGTGCAAACAGGTAAATGTTGTGATTTTTCGAATACTAAAAAATATCAATTTAATGTGTTCTATACAGTTCTGAGTCCCTGAGCTATATAAATATGAATCGGTTACGCTGGCATTGCTGATATCCATGAATGAGACCACTCACCATCAGGAGTGTTGTATGCTTGTGTTTTGTCTTCTTCAATAAAATTTTTCACGTTTTCGTTTATATCGCACATTTAGATTGTTCTTTACTTTGTCAAAATGATCAATTTATTTTAGGAGAAATAATAAGTCAAAGAAAAGTACCCGTATCTAAAAATATAAAACTACCAGAACTCACCAAACAATTGTCGGATATTGGTGCTGAAATGCTTGTAGAATGCATAAGTACATTACCAAAGAGTATTGAAAATGCAAAACCACAAAGTGAAGAGGGTGTTACATACGGTAAGTAGAGTGAAATGAAGAGGTTTACATACTAATTATATTTATGATCTATTATATAATAGGAAACTTAATTTCTACTATTCAAAAATACTACATGAGCTCTGAATGCTGATTTCGTCAACGACAAGCTGCTTCCCCTGATAGACTTTATCGGTGTTTAGTCAGGATTCAACTTCCTGTCTCAGGATTACTGATGGCATTCACATTTGTATTGTCTCTAGAATCATTTAGCAAAATTTGCGTCGAGAAGTTTTTTAAGTATTCAGTCAAATAAATAAACGAATTTAACAAAAAAATATAGTAACAAAATAGTCTAATCTATTTATAGTTTGTATGAGCTTTGTTAATCCTGATTGGGGTTATCTTTTAACCATAACCATTGTTTTTTTTTAGCATTTTGTAAATAGTTATAACCTAATGGCTAAAAGATAACCCCAATCAGGTATGTTAAAATAATTCAATTTCATAAACCAGTATGTTTATTAAGAATCCATTTGATAAGAATTAAACAGAAAAAAAATTTCAGCAAAGAAAATCAACAAGAGTATAAGTGAAGTGAATTGGGCACAAATGACTTCTATAGATATTTATAACTTGTATAGAGCAATTTATGGATTGTATGCTCTATCAACAAAGTATAAAGATAAACATTTGAAACTATTCAATGCTTTTTTGAGTGATGAAGACACAGAAGAAAATTTGCATAGCCCAGTAGGTACTGTAGAATATTGTAAGAAAAGGGATGCAATAAGAATATTGTGTAAAGATAGGAAATATATTTATTTTAAGTCACTTAGAATTGTAGGGAAAAAGGAAATATCTGCTTTAGACTTCTACAATGGCTATATAAAAAATTTGGCTGTTGAAAAACGGGCAAAAGTTATCGTTGGTACCTGATTAGATTATATTTAAGTTTGGATAAATGATTGTAAATAGCACAAGATGGAGGATAGCTTTTTAATAAATAAAAAACATAGTTAATTCGAAGATTAGTTTTATTTTTAAGTGATCAAACAATAGTTAACCAAGATCCAAATCTACGATTAAACCTGTATGTTATTTGAAGATTTACAAAGGTAGGTATTTGTTACATTGAGTAAGTATGTCATCCATTCAATTATTCGTTCATATTACGGCAGTGAAATTAACGAGTCGATGAATAATTACATTGCAAAGTTTAGTAATAACATTTTATAATAATAACTAAGTAATTACGAACGGCAGAACTTTAAACCTAAAACGTACCTACATAATATTATTACAGTAAAAAGGGCGCACTTTCTTGATTTTATTCTGTTATTGTACTGCATATTTATGTATTCTGCATTACCTATATGCAGAGTTTAAGATCTTTAAATACGTACCTTTTAGTGTCATACAAATTAAACTACTGTAACGGTGGGACATATTCAAATGTGAACGAATTGCACAAAAACAGCTATCTAATTAACAGTGATCAATCTACTATACCAGAACGCGATTATTTGATGTTGACTTTTATCCTGAAAGTAAAAATATGATAAATAAGAATAAATACGATGGGGTACCATAATTCATGTAAAGATAAACATAAAACATAAAAAATTAAAGGATAATGCGTAAACTCATTAAAACTTCCCAATAACTGAACATTTGTAGAAAATACCGCCACTTTTATAGAGTTGTTGATAATTTATACTTCATGCAAATAAAACTGAGAAAAACACTCGTTCACTTAATGTTATAAAGAGTTTGACGCATTATTATCTTCTCAGATATGAAATTATTAGGTAGCTTAATTTCATAAAACCAAAGCGAATCTCATTCGAAGCAATATAAAATTATACTCACCATGGTTAATAAAACAATTATAGTATATATGTGGAGCACAAAACACATTTTCAAGTTAGATGAAAACTTCATAGCTAAATACAGAATGCACAACATGATGTACCTAACGGAACTGAGTCCATGTGCAAAACGGTCTTTTTATGGACGACATTAGTAAATGTTCGGTAACTATTCGTGTAGCATGTCGACCAGTGTTAATTTTATAAGCATATCCGTTTAAACAGAAGCCTTTAACAACAGCATTAATCTTTACGATTTACCTTTGTAATTTTAGCATATACAGCAATGGGACTTTCTAACTATCCGTATCCTGAAAAAAAAATAACGAATCTAATACCACAAATAAAATATAAATTCGATCGTTAAGGCTTCTGTTTTCAGCATTACTCAAATGAAACATTAAAATCACAGAATTCAATTTAATATGGCAAATTATGATATACATATCACTTTGTTCATGGTGAGAATGGATTTAATGCTGCAAAATTTCTTAACTAAGTTCTATACTTTTTTTTTTTTTTTGACGTGAAACTTCTCTATGCGCGTTGAGAGTAAAATTTAACTCGCGACAGATTCGTTACAGATAGAGAGAAAAGATAGGATTAGGAAGAGCAAAAGTGAGAAAATAGATGGCATCTCGCGAACTGTGGAGAGTGGGAAAGGACAAAGCGAGCTAGGTCGTTTTTGGAGAAATTTGATATATGGACGAAAAATGAAAAAAATCACAAACCGTTTAAGAAGTTTCACTTTCACATGCACCAAGTTTCACGCGCACCATGTTTTATTTAATAATTAAAAAAATCGAACATATGATACATAACAATTTTTGTCTTAAGACTAGTTTAAGAGACTTTTTAACGTCCTAACGTCATTACTACAAATTGACTGATAATAGTAACTATTATTAGTACAAAACACTGTAAAGCTATTTTAGGTACTTAATTCCCCAAAGTCAGTATGCAATGACAAAACGTACAGTGTCAAAACCGTAGGTATTCTAAGGCGTTACATTTATCTTTAATAATAAAGTAAAATAAAAAACTCATAAGAGATATTTTTAGAATATTCTATAAACCGGCCAAAAGAAAACACGGATCGTGATTAAATGATAACAAAGCCATTTCAGCTAAGGACACAGTTTTTAATAACTTTGTATTTTTTCTAACTATATTTTATAGTCTTAATAAAATTTAACAGCCGAAGGAATAACGTGAGACTATTCACAAATCAAGCACTCAATTTATTTGCCTATTAATTTAACACTAATCATACCAACACTTACTGGTACCTATTTCTACCATAGCGGGTGGTAACGGTACACGACAAGTATTACTCTAAACAAAACAAAACAAAAAGAAGTAGTATAATAAGTGTGGATTAATTGGCACGAAAAAGTCATGAAGTCAAATGTACAAAAGCAATAACATGATACGTGCATCTTCAATGCAATAGTTCAAAATGGGTCATCTGACTTGTTATGATATGTTTAATGTTAAGCGGGCCGTGATATACTTTTTCAAAACTGTGTTCTTAGCCGAGTGTACAAAATAAATGCATTTTGTGGAATAGCTGATGATAAGTGCAGGTGGAGTGAAGAGACACTCAGCAGAGGCAGCTCAGTCGGGTCACAGTGAACATTTGACCAAGGGCAGTTTCCTAAAACGTTAGTAAAAAAAAAACAACAACGTTACTGAAGGAACAAAATCTGTAACGATGTAGTGATTGCAATCATAACTATCACATCAAACGAATAGGATAAGATGAACGTTATTTCATATTATTTTTAAATGTCAATAAGTACTCCAAGAAAACTTAAGACAATGTCATGCGAAATGACCTTTGGATTACATAAAGCCTACTAGATATAACCTCACTTTAAAAATACCTACTTATAAAATTAAGTTATTAAGAAATCATGCGATAGTTGTATAAAACACAATTGGAAGTTCATTACTCAGCACAAACTAAGTTTCAGTTTCAATTATATTATGAGACTATGTTTGTCTCCAATGTTTTCAACCTGTCTTCAGATGAGAAATAGATTAAAAATGTCTCCATTGTTTACAACCATATACACTCAAATCCAGCCTTCGTTGTCACATTGAAACTCGTACAACATTACTAAAATTAACAACACCAAGTCTTTAAATATATAAATATTTATTATTTAGGACTTATGGTTGTTTATTTTTTCCACTTCTATTATAAATTAACCCTTTACCAGTGCCTGTCTCTAGGTAAAACCACGTCTATCTTATTCCATTCGTTTATTAGATTATTTAATTTATTAAATTGAAACTTTTTTTTTGAAAGAAAAATTTTACACTAAATCAAACTAAGTACGACTGATTTAAAAAAAAACATGCACAATAATAAGATGATACGACAAAACATAAAAATCTACTGCCACCAAAATCATAATATGGCGTACTAAAAAAAACGATACATTCCAGAAAGCATAGAAACATGTATGCAGTTTATGCTGCGTCAACAACACAAAAGTAAGAAAAGGTAACAGGAAAAACAGAACAGCAAGCGAAAGAATATTTGTTTCTTTGTTCATTTTAATAAATACTAATGTTCTTTGGACCAAATCTGAAAATTATGAAATGAGAGTGAAAACAGACAGGAAACAAGAGAACTTAATCAGCAGAGAGAAGGAAAGGTAGTAATGTTAATAATAAAAATACAACTCTAAAATATATTTATTTGTTTTAATATTTTTTTTCTGTTAGAAACTATATACTTTCATAAGTATTCATTTATTGTACTAGGTAAGGTGCAAAACAATATTATGTGCATATTAATTTTTACTTAAAGACATTTATAAAAATAAATCGAAATAAAATTTGAAGAACAGGAAAAGGAGAGTACTATTATATTATTTTACTATATAGATTTATATACATAGATAATACCCGCACCAGACTTTACATCAACATCGATATACTTTATCTCAACAAGCTACCACTCGAATATGTTCATTAATCTGGAACTACGAGCCTAAAGCCGATAACGGTATCCAAAATTATGAAATTTGTTAGCTTAGCGGACAGATAATAAATATAACACAACACTAATATTTATTTAATACCGGCAATGTGTTATAGCAACGGGAAACGACAATCACTACCGGCATAAAATATGTCATTCAACCAATTTTAGTATTCATATCTCGATAAATATATACAATTCTCCATAATGTTCTAACTAAATAAATTCTCTTTATAATCAACATATTTATGCCAAACAATTATAGTTAATAAATGAAAGCGTCAGTGTATATAGTACATAGCCGATATAACGGTCACACACGATGGATCGGCAAGGTATCAACGTTGCAATCATTTAATTAGTTACACATTACATTTTAATACAAACAATGTTTTACATCTAAGTACTAGCACCCTGTAAAATAAACATACATAGACAATATGTTATTTACATAATAAGTTATAGGAATGTAATTAAACAGCCTCTAATATTATAGTTTAGACTAGAAGCTAGGCAGAAAAGGAAGCGGAGGCAAGGTGATTTGTGTCTTACATGTGTTCCGGGTGACTGCGAATGCAATCAATAAAGTCGTTCGGTTTAAGTTCTCCGCGACAGATGCGGAACACCGCAGTGAACAAAGGGAACCTGAAATTGCAGATCATTATTTTAACTGGTGCGTCGTGACTGTAAGAATTTTTGCCTTGGCAACCATTATGGCATATTGTTGTTATTTTTTTGCCTTACACAAAAGCTTACGATACATACAGCCGATTAACGAAAACATAATTAAAATGTGCTCAGAAATAAGTATATTATTCTTAACGCATTAGGTGGGTAGTCACCGGCATATCTATTGTAGATGAGTACTAGAGCCGAAGCTCGTTGACGCGAATGCCGCCACGTAAGTACGGAGACGTGGGTTTGGAGTAGTAGTAGTAGTAAGTAATATCACAAGCAATCTCAAGGTTCAAAGTATCATGTTACTGATTGTCCAGCCTCTAATAGACTAAGATAAGAGTAATAAGTAGTTTCGTAAAGCAAACATGGGTTTCTGAGACTGGAGAAATATTCCAATATTTGCACCAATAAATATAAACATGAAGTATAATTATATTATGTAACTTGTGATTACTTTTTCACTACCTATTCGCTGTTAGCCCAAGAGGCTATTCCAGCTACTCCCGGACGGGTAGGTGAGCTCACGGGCTTAACCTGAGAGAATTTGCTAACACTAGCCCTAGCAAGAGCTTCGCAGAATCTACCATCGGATCGGAATCGCGACCCACTGAGACGATCCGGCGAGAAATTCAGTGGGATGTGTCTATGGGTTAGTTCGCTCGTCGTACTCTTCGTCATAATCGACGAGTTCGACGAGGGCGGTGACCGGTGCTTGAGAGACCTAAAAGCACCGCGAGTGAATCCAGGGGATCCACATGTTTCGGACGACGGCGGCTTTGCGTTGCCCCGTCGCGGTCGGATAAGAGACTTGTAACTTTAGAACTCTTCCAAGTGAATCGTACAACAGCTTCGCAATAATAACACACAGAATGGCGGTATCTACCTAGGAGGGTTCATACTACGTCTCACTACTAATTACGTTTTTTTTTATTGCTTAGATGTGTAGACGAGCTCACAGCCCACGTGGTGTTAAGTGGTTACTGGAGCCCATAGATATCTACAACGTAAATGCGCCACCCACCTTAATATATAAGTTCTAAAGTCTTAGTGTAGTTACAACGGCTGCCCCACCCTTCAAACCGAAACGCATTACTGCTTCACGGCAGACATAGGCAGGGCGGTGGTACCTACCCGTGCGGACTCACAAGAGGTCCTACCAGCAGAAATTACGCAAATTATAATTACGTAAAATAACACAAGTTTGAATTATTTTTAATTATCCTTAATAATGCTTTTCTTTTTACGTTGAAGATTTTCGTGACTCCGTGTTTAGTATTAGGTACCCTAGAAAAAAATGTTACTGGCCAACGGAATTTGAAGCCCGGCATGATCGCATTGATCGATACGAGTACACCGACCGTCTTATCTTGTAAACAAGCTAAAACAACTCCGTGTCCATATAAAGGAATCAACCCCGCGATTTCGATAAACATTTATACTATGCTTGAACTAGTTCTATGCAGTATTTAATTGAAAGGCACCTGTAAATCATTTAGTGTTATTTATGAATCGATAAATTTTATTTGCGAGTGAAAAATATGCTATTTTTTTGATAGATAATTAATTAAAATTTAGCAAGAGTTTATAAATAAGGACAATCAACTTTTAAACAACACAACATCAATCAATTAGTCGTGACCTAAGCGATTACAAGAGTATGTCGATTAAAACCGTTGTTATTATTATATAAGTGAATAATAATCTCCTCCTCCTCTATCAGTCCGAATAATAATATGCAAATCCTAAAAATATTTACAGATAATTATATTTCTTTATCTTAATTCTTGCGTTGCATTATTTATACAACATTCTAGCCAATGAAGCAAGCCAGAATACTCTCGTATTTTTGTGAACCAGAAAAACAATTAAACATAAGATATCGTATTATTTAATTATAATTACATCACAAGGCTATCGCGTATTGTATCGTGATAAAACAGCAAAACGCGGTAACGCAACGAAATGCTTCAATTAAAGTTGTCGTTGGCTTCAGCCGGGACGTGGATACCCGCCAAGAGATACAATTTTAGCTGAACTATAACAATACAATGTTGAACAGTCGAAAAATATTTTTAAATAAATATCCACTAAACGTTCATACTCTGGGGATAATTTTACGGTACACAAAAATACTTATTATAAAATAAGAAATTTTGCAGAAAACATTTCGATTTAACGTTAAGCCACTTTACAGTCGCGTGTAATGTTCAACGCGATGCGTACGTATCGATTATATAAGAGAGTGCGAGCGAGTTATTTTCGATGACCATGAATATTAGCTGTCGGTCATTTGTACCATTTCAATAAGATTGCGCTACTATAAAGAGCTTGCAAAACACAAAAGTTAAATAGTCATCAGATGGGAACAAAATCGATAAGGATATTTTTTAAAGATTTATATACACAAAAACGATTGTTTTATACATTTGTGATTGAAAACGTAAACTTAGAATCGAAATTTGAAAGTTAAATAAAAAAGTTTTAATTCCCATTGCGATCTAATCTTGATCATTATATTATCTAAAAAAATTCAATATTATATTTTCAACTTGTGTATTGTTGTTATTAATTTACAATAGTTTAATAAATTTAATTAATTCGGCAATACCATATTCTTTCACTTCTCGAAGCCACATAAAATAATCGAACTCAATTATACATTTATCGATTAATTTTCTGTTCAACTAGTTACCGTTTCATATTATATAACTTATTGAAATACTCACTTGTTTTCCATATTTTTATTAGCGAGCATATGGTTTACTTCCTCCGCGGTGATAGGACCTTGTAGTTTCTGACCGTTAAGCATTTCGTCTTCCAGCTCTTTTATTGACCGTCCCGTTTTAACAAACGCTTCGGCAACTCGTCTGTTTCTGCCCCCTGAAAATAAGGAAAAGTCTCAATTCTACTGTTTGAGGGCTGCTATACCAAAACATATAACTGCTTCGCGACAATAATAGACAAGATGGCGCCTGCCCGCGCGGCCTAACACCAAACTTAGAAGTTTTCTTTTAATTATATTATCTGTTAGTTTATTGGCGTCGCTGGACAGGCGAGTTCACGTAAAATCTATTCTAATTCTAGTAGGCAGCGGCTTGGCTCTGCCCCTGGCTTTGCTGAAGTCCATGGGCAACGGTAACCACTCACCATCAGGTGGGCCGTATGGCCATTTGCCTACAAGGGCAATAAAAAAAAATTATAAGTTTTCCGGAACATACTGCAAAATAAATGCCACAAATAATACAATCGCATTGGGATATGGACTGCTTTATAGGCGGACGCGTGGTTCCTTTGCTAGCAGGACGGCTGAACATATCCTTCTTATAGCTTAGATGAGTGGACGATCTCACGGCCGACCTGGTGGTTACCGGAGTTTATAGACAACAACAACATAAATGCGACCACCATCTTGATTGTGATGGTACCTACCACCTCTCTACCAGTTCTCAACACGCCCTACCGACTTTAATTACATGCAGAAATGTATTCAATATATTATTTATGTTTATAAGTAAAGAGCTAAGTCAGTGAGGTCAAGAAATGCAAACGACTATTCGTTTTATCGCAACCGCTGTACCTTGGACTCGATTACGCAATGCGTTCAACGATTAATTTTAATTAGTAATCAATATTTTATTATTCATATATGTACGCTCGTACACAGAGAAAAATAATTATTTACAAATACTAAACATACAATATTTAATTGCAATATAAACATTACACAAATTTATTTATGTTTGTATTCCATACATCAACAATTGTAACTATGGCAAGAAAGTCCTTTTTCACTATAACTTATTTCCTGCGGGCTTCGAACCGGATAGTTCTGTGTACAGACCTCGAGCAGAGGAAATTCTCAAAAATATAATAATTATTATTAAAAAAACGATTCGTACCTATAGTTAACTGAAAATTAGGCCCTGACACGAATAGGAATGTATTTCACTGAATATAATATTAATTTACCATATCATCATTATTAAATAGATCAAATCTTAATTCGGGAGCATAGCTTCTGAGTGTGAATAGCGTGCAAAGTTAATTTTGTACTCCATTTAAGAATGTGATTTTTCGCATAAATGAAGAACATTGCACTAATTTAATACTACTTTACCAATTTACGGACTCCGTGACCACGAAATCCGTAAAGTATCGGAAACGTCGGAAATTATACAATACATACATATCGACGCTTGTAAGGCAAACGTGACTAAGCACAATGCGTGAACTTTACAGTAGACTAATTTAAAGTGGAAATACCTGAAAAAAAACTATTTTAACGAATCTAGCAGTAGGATTGAAATGATTTTAATAGACCTATATAAATATTTTTTTGTTCCGCATCGAATATGGTTATTGCCTATCATTTATGTATAAAGCAGTTATTGTCGCTTAGTCACGTTTGCCTTTCAAGCGTCGATATATACAACAGGAAATGCGAGATTAAACTGTAAAAGTAGTTTTAATTATGTACACGACTCCCGAAAACAAATGAAAATAAAATAGTACCCTTATCAAAATTTTAACTACTTCTATGGCTCATTATCACAAATTAACTAATTCATGTTGATGCGTCAATGGCCTAACGAGACAATTCTAGGCATTTAGAACATTTTAAAAACTTTCCACTTCTAATATTATTTATTTATTTATTTTATTTATTTATTTTATTTAATATATTTTGTACACACAGCTGTTAGAAAAGACACGTCAATAAGGATACAGAGTACAAGGGCACTACTTATTTCATGCTGAAATCTCTTCCAGTAGGCCCGCAAAAGGAAAGAAGAATTAAGAACACAAACCTAGTGCATACAGTAAACATTACCTATAATAATATATACATATTAAAAGATACAAAACAATATATATACAGACACACACACACACACATACATATATATAACATACACACATATACTTACTTTATATTATAATACATTATACAAATATATATAATTTATTTAAGATGGTAAGGATAAATAATGTTCCTTAACAGATTTCTTGAATGCTGCTATGGTTTTGCACGCTCGTATGCTTGGAGGGAGGGAATTCCAAAGTATAACTGCTTGTACAGAAAACGATTTTGCGTAAGNATGGTTAATTATGTTCGTTAAACAAGGAAGTAGTATATCAAGAATGGGGATAAGCATTTTAGAGCACAAGTTGTCACTACCTACAGCATGGGAAGAAATAGATAAAATAGCTTTACGAACATCATTGGTCGATACTGACTGAAACTTAAAGGAAGAATGTTTAGGCAAAGGGAGATTAAGTAACGTTTGCAAAGTTCTCGATTTACGACACTGATCAACTGAGAAAGAGGGTGTAGAAAAATGTTTGTTGAGTGCGTTTAAATCGAGACCGCCGCAGGACGTAGATGATACTTTTCCTATGCCTACGGATTTCAAAAATTTCCATACATCAGAAGACTTACGATTTATGATATATTATTATTATTATTAGTATTTTATTACACTAGATTTGTGAACAAAATCAGGGTCCCTCTAGTTTTTACATTTACATTCACAACGTAATATTTGAAATATGAACAATATATCGTTCTAATATTCACAATTAAATTTTAGTTTCACTATCAGTTTTTTTTGTGAAACCATCGACGAAATTTATAAAAAAATCAGGATACTGGTCATAAATTAAAATGTCATGTTACAGATCAATTTCAATACTACCTAAACGTTATCAAGCGTAATTTATCAAGTTTATCGTGAATTATTGCATCAGTCCGTGTACGAAAAAAGATAAACAAAATTTGTTTCGCAAAATTTCGCTTTTATTACGTTCACGAAGACAAATAAGCGCGCCTACTGTCGAATTGCAATAAATCGTTACGGTGCAGAGTACACAGTACACAAAAACGTTGAATATTCAATGACGAAGCTATTACACATACGACTTTTGGGGAAATAAACTGTTTCTAATTTTATTTTCTTCACACTTTCCGTCTTCTATGGTTTTTATGGTGTTAACCTAGGCACTTTATGGTAAAATTATGGTTAAATTTAATATTGAAAAATACTCTTGATGGAATGGTGTGAGCAAACGGATCTCACACGACAAATAGTTCCTGCGACCATTAATATTAAACCACAATTCTGACCTCCTCGAGTCACTACTGTTACTTCTAATTTGCCATCACCCCAAAGCATCTTGGGTCGGTCTTATAACTGCATCTTGATTTCCGAGGGACTCAAATAGTAGTAGCAACTAAAACTTGTAATGTACTCACCGTAGCAGGTCGTTATTAAATCTGCGACACCGCATGACTCGAAGAACGTGCTCAGCTTGCTTCCCGGGTAGAACACATCAACGAATTTGATCATCTCCATGAGACCGAGTCTGATGACAGCAGCCTTTGTGTTGTCACCGTAGCCGAGGCCGTCCACGAAACCCGCACCCACTGCCACAATGTTCTATACCACATAGATACATTTCACATAACGTGGCAATGATAATGACACATTCAATTTTTGCATATAAACCCAGAAAAAAATCGCCTATCATACCTTTCCTGGTTACTTTGGCTTACTGGTGGCAGGGCGTATTGTGCGCACGGGTATCGCACAGGTCTTCCTGCCTTTCTCTGCCGGGAAGCAGTAATGCGTTCCGGATTCCGTAGACTTCAACCTCGTGTCTCAAAGCGTCATGTCTATTGGCCCCGGTAACAATTTAACACTGAGTAGAAGGTACTGGTTGACCCGTCTACGAAATAATTTAAAAATAAAACTATAAATAAAGGTCTGATAATAGAAAGCCTTATGATTTTGAGCTAGGCAAGTATATATCCATTACGATGCAAGACACACAATAGTGCAGTCCCAAATTTCGACCACGTCTTTACTATTGCAGTATTTGATGGTATATTTATTTTATGAGAGTGCGTCGAGGATTTGTTTGATATGATCTATTTTTTTATTAGCGCACACTACCTGGTACCAGATTAAAATTTATCTCTACTAGTGTTGCATTCATCCACTGCGTATCAAAAGAAAGAAAATCTACGTTGTTTACCATACGTTAACGACAGCAGTTTTTGTTTCCACTACCTATTCCAACTACCCACGGACCGGTCGATTGCAGTGTTGATTGTACATAGAGTTTTACCCCAAATGACCTCACTGGCAATGATAGTCTTACTAACATTACTGTTGTCACTTAACCGCAATCGTTTCTAATTATCGAAATAGTTTTGAAAACGACGCAAACGTTATTTAAAAAAAAAAACCTCTATACCAGAAGGACATTATGCTATTGATTATTTCATATAGAAAACTTAATGAACCTTATCAGAATTTAAACGAACACGTGTATTTAAATGAAAATGATCCTTATTGATCGTATAAGCAGAGTTAATTAATTACAATCGTAAACACACACGAATATCTAATAAACGATATTAGAATTGTAATAAAAGTTTAAATGAGGTTTTTAATGCCTATATGTTACATCGTTTGGCGATATTTACAGAATATCGAAATCCTCCTTGATTTTCTTGTAAACGGGACAACAATAATTAGATTGTTTTAATAAAGAAGATTATCGCAAAATTATAAATAGTTCTCGCATTCATTTTTAGTCTTTGACATGAACTTATATCAATACCATGGCAAAAAATTAAAAATATCAAGTGCCTACGAAATTTAAAAAGCCATTTTTGAGTGAGTTTGTATTTCAGATTTGAAAACGGAACACTCGATGTGTTGTTTTTTTTTAAAATTTAAGAAGTACCGACCTTTAACGCTCCGCATATTTCGACTGCGTCCTCATCGTCCACCACCACGACCCTGAAGTAGTCTGTCTGTATGATATCCCGCATTAACGGAGCCAGCATTACGTCCCGACAACCAATGGTCGTTTCGCAGAATTTTTCCTCAGCAACCTTCGTTAAATAATATAATTAAAACTACTTTTATTTTTCGTCGTCACGGTCATCCGTGACTGCAAAGTATTCGAGACGTCAGAAATAATATAATGGCAATGAAAAACGCGAGATTAAACTGTGAAAAATATATTTAAAATTCATATTATGGAAGGGATTTTTCATTTTTTTAAACATCAAAAAATTTTAATATAATAAATGTGAAATTGACGTACTACTGTAGAAACCAACGGTATTATTTTAATATAATTTAATGTATACAAGTAAAAAATAAAACGTATATGTATATACGTAAAAAGTATATGTATATATATTTTAGATGCTACATCTATGAAATAAATTTATGACAATTTTTGGCACATACCTCCGATGCAATATTGGCTCCCATTAATACAGCACAGGGAATTTTTAGGCATCTTGTAATAATATGTGATATAAGATCGATGCCACCGCCTTCGGCTATATCAAATCCCTGTCAATTAAGTATTAAAATATGAGCTATTGTATGCAGGGAATGTAAAAATTCACTTGTATCTTTGGAAATATTGCTGATATTTTTTTTAAGAATTATAATTCATGAAATAATTACTTGTTTACACAAATTTCAACTTCAGACTGATAACAAAGTTTGGAATAAAGCAATTATTAAATAATTGTTTTGGTACATTATTTCATTAAGAGGGTAGTATAATTTAAATTAGTTTTTAACCTTAATCAAAGACAGAGCAGCTGCAGTTGGCTTTATTTTTCCAAGCAAAGTAGAGCAGATAGTTCTGACAAATTGATGAGGCACCACAAATATTAAAAGATCAGCATCTTTTGCAGCTTCAACTACATCTGGAACAGCAACCTGTAAATACCTATTGTTCAATATATAATTTCTAAAATATGCGATGTAAATGTAAATTTAAAAAAAGTTAATAAACAATCTTAAATTCCTTTAAACAAATTAGTAACCAGTATTTTCTGTGTACTTTTTAATGTAATTGTTCAACTAGTTTACTTATAATTTGTAATAGGAACAAGGAATATATAGGATAATATAGGAATATATAGAAATGAGGAACATTATGACAGTGAATAATTTAATAATTTTAGCATGTTAATTTTATTTCAGAAACTTCCAACATACAATATAGGTATTCAGCTGTTGTTTGCATTTCTTATTTTCTTTTGAACTTAATCTAAGAACTGCAACCTGAAGGCCAAATAATTTCACCAAAATTTCTGACTACAGCCAAGACTTGAAGCTAATGATGTGGTAAAATAGTCAGGATATCAAAGTGATAATCTGGCATGTTGAGCAAAATTATTTATTAGTATACTAAATGGGAATAAATTACTATCAATATAGTTCCAATCCTCTATGCAATCAGGGAGTATGTACCAACTACTTGTCTTGTCTACAATTGTAAACACCCATATATATTTGTACCATTGAAGAACTTTGAAGAGTTATTTGAGATGATTATGTTATCTCTTTTTTATCATCAAACCTCTTAGAGTAGAATTCGTTGCTACTATCTATGATCTCTGTGTCCATTGACAATGTGCTTCTACAAATCATTTTTTTCACATACCATCTGGCCCACAAGACACCTTACTACCAATAATTCTTCTATTCTTCAGTTTGATTATATGCAATGATTCTCCTTTACCCTCCATTGAAGATTCTTAGTACAGAGTTTCAATATCTAATTTTAATAAACTTTAGTGAAGTTTTAGTTAAGAATATCAAATAAAAATCATAAACATAAGGTTAACACCTTAATTATTCAATCAGCTTCTTGATAGTGTCAACAAAAGTTTGCTTGACTTCCGAAACAAGGTGGGTCAGAGATTGTAGGTAATTACCATAATAAATACTTAAAAAAAGCTATGAGTCCTCTGAGACACCAACTTGCATACAATGGCCTATCTGTCTAAATAGAATCCAGTGTGGGTTTATTACAATTTCCATTTTGAGTATAGTAAGAACAGTAAGAATAGAATCCCCTGACATCCTTATTTAGACAATAGCAGTAAATTTTCATTGTTGTATTATTTATGAACTTTTTTTTTACTTACAACATTAGAAGGCAATTTGTGGCCAGGCAGGTATTTAACATTTTCATGAGTTTCATTGATTATTTCAGTTAACTTCTTTCCTTCAATTATTTCTTCATACACCCACATTGTAACTCTATCCTCAAAATTTGATAGACTCGCAGCATTTCGACCAACAATTTTCGCAATAGCAGAACCCCTGTAAAAAATATTGTAAATAGGTATATAATGACCAAGTAATGACCACAATGGAATATATTCTTGAGCATGTTTATGTTGTCATTTTTCAGAGATTTCATCGTTTCGATATTATGTCATCAGCATAACATTTAAGGTCATTTACGTTATACACTTAGTTCCGTGCTTCGGTGATGTAAAATAGAATTTCGCATTTTTAGGATGTTAATAAAAAAATTGCCCACCAGTTTCCCGATCCAACGATGCAAACTTTGTTCTTTGGCTGTTTATCTGCCATATCTAAAATATTACAATCGCGGACAAAATATTTAAATTAATATGTTACGAATTTAGAAAAGGCACGACTCCCCTAGTTTATGTCTAATAACTGATAAAGACTGCACTGCACTGACACTTCTGATAATGATAATGTTAGATTTTTTTTTTCTTTTTGGACCCAACACCAAGTGTTATTTGCCACTTTCAAAATAAAGGTTAGGAAGCAAAAAGCAAATCAGAAAATATAAGTTAGATAAGGCTTAGGCAGGAAAATTGGATTAGGATTAATATAATTAGGAAGAATAAATAATACATATAATTATAATTTGAGGTCTAAATTAACGTTGTACATGGAGACCACTTCGAATAAGCTTTTTATACTTTAAATTGTTTTATATTTATGTATTAAACTAACACACTGTAAAAGTAATAAGTGTTATTTGCAATAGATTTTTCTTTTTCCTTTGTCTCAGTATTTATGCAAGACTAGGTATAATGAAGACTCAACTGATTAATTAGAAGCCCACTTCGATTAAGCGGCACGACATGAGAACCCTCTCATCGTGGCCGCCGGTAACTACATTCCCGATCCTACGGACAGAATGGAAAGCAGTCGACGTCACCCCAAACACGTCATTTCGGATCCTCCCGATCCACTAACGGTGCTATTAGGTACCTCAAACACCGGTCATCGTTCTCGTCGAACCCGTCGCTTGCGACGAAGGGCTCGACGAGTAAATTAACCCTCGCCGGATCTTCTCAGTGGGTCACGTTTCCGATGGGGTGGTAGATTCTGCGAAGCACGGCTCTTGCTAGGGTTCGTGTTAGCAACGTTGTCAGGTTTGAGCCCCATGAGCTCACCGACTAGTTAAGGTTACGCTGAAATAGCCTCTCAAGGCTCTCCGCTTAGGTAGGGAAAAAAATAATAATTAGAAGGTTTAAGTTTTTATTTGTTTCCTCAATGAAAGTTTAGATTTTGGAATAATATTTGCAATAATTATTTAATTTTTGTTTTGATTTTTACTTATTTTGTTTTCATTTTATGATCAATGTGTGTCATAATGTGTATGCTAAGCCTTACATTTCCAATTTTGTTATCCAAGATTCTTGTTTTGTTACTGTCCCAAAACTGTGCTGATAATTATGATAAATATTTCTTTTTCTTTAAACTGAAACGCTATAATCAATCATTTAAAACAACTTCATGATAAATGTTATTATTATAAATAGGAAATATAGCATCCTTCTTTTTTTATCTTAAAGGAAAATAAACATTTTGATTAGAAAGTATTCAAATGGTAACAGATACTCAGTACTGCTAAAACAGTTCAATTTATTATATTTTTCGCAATTTTTACTTTTACAAGATGTTGTTTAATCTATGATCTAATAGAAAAACATAAATTTATAATAAGTCCGCGTGTTTCTATATGGTTTTCACTCATTTCCAAATAACAAAATAAGAACTTTTATTTCGTCCATAACTAATATTTTACAGGTTTTTTGTATAAAAACTCTATTAAAGGCTGTTTAGTCTAAAACCCCTTGGCTTTGCTAGTTGGTCTTTCAAATAGAAAATAAAACTTTATGTCCAAGAATCAATTATATTATACTGCTAGATAAAATAGTAGCTTCTATTTGTACGGTAGCACCAAATGCGGCGATAGCATTTGCAGAAATTCATTGGACTGAAAGAGACAAGCACAAAACGGGGATGAATACGCAATTTATTCGACTGCCTCAAAAACGTTGTGGAATGTTCTGGAATAAACCGAACTGGGCTAGCTGTAGACTAGACCAGTGGTCGTCAAACTTTTTTGTTCAAAGTCAAATGGCATGCTTCAAGCAATCGCTTCTATCAGGCATGTGCTGCTTACCTGTGCATTTAAGTAAAAGATGAATTTTGAAAACTATTTTTCAAGGATTAGCGGCGAGTTGACTTAATACAATGACGGCGAGTCATTGTATTACCTATAGCCAAAAGAATCACGAGTCCAACTGTTTTCTTTACAGGTTTTTGGCAATAGCCTTGGTAAATAAGACAAACATTTTAAATTCAACTCGAAATGGCAGTATTTATATTCACCTAGGCTTGTGAATATGAATACCCCCACCTTGTGTTTAGTGGATACCGAGTCCAACAGGAATCACCTGTGTGAGTGTCATCATTTACCTTGTGCAATGCCCTTAGTCTCATATATATTCCATAATGGCTGTAAAACTCGTCAAACCAAAACAAGTAACAACAACTAAGGGGAAAAATGTCATAATCATTTCTGAAATTTTAAAACACATTCTTTATGGTGAGAGTTGCAGTTTCGTATCCCACATCATCGTATCCCACATTCGTGTAACGAATATACTTGATCTTTGTATGCATTTAAACGTATATAAATATGTCTCTGTTTCGCTTAGTGCTGGGAATCCTCTTTTGGACCCATGTGACCGTGAGGGATTTATCTCCGACTGTATAAAAATTTAATTGTTATTTTATGTTCTATAGTGATATGGATCTGTTAGTGCAACAGTTTCACGATTTAAATGGTTGTATGTGTTGCGATTTATCAAAGCCACAGTTTGACAATAGCTGCTGAACTGTCGAATTTGATTCTCGAATGAAACACTAAAACGTCATTCGTAATTAAACAGAGATCTCTGTCTGACGTGCAGCAAAGTATCCTCGTGTCTTTCTTTTCACGCTAAATACAGTATAATAGTGATAATTATTTAGAAATAACAGCCGATTCGATATTTAATTTTGTGATTTGTGCATTTAATTGTGAACATACTTAGGTAAGCAAATTTCAACTTTACACAATAGTGGGAGAAAGTGTAACTTGTTTAAGCTTTGGCCACAAGAAAAAATTGAGTTTTGTCATGATTTGCGTTTTTATGCATATTAAAACCTTCATTAAGTATTTAACGCAACTTGTCCATACAACCATTGACGTAACGTGGTTGTACTTTTCGCTGAGTATCTACGAATTACATAGTAAGATTATTAAAATAATTAAACTTATTGTTGTCTAGCAGTATGTGTATTTTTATTCTTTGTTACGTTTCTAAAACAAGATTTAATTGACATGATGCCAGATTTAAACTTTCAATACCCTACCACATCAATAAAATTATAACCTAAAAACTTAGAAGTTTCTCGATTGCCAAATATTAGTATAATTTTATTGTATCATACAGGCATAATAAAAATGGTTAAGGAGACCACATATTATGACATTTTGGGCGTGAAACCAAATTGCACCACTGATGAATTAAAGAAAGCCTATCGAAAATTAGCTCTAAAATACCACCCTGACAAGAACCCAAATGAGGGTGAGAAATTTAAACAGATATCTCAGGCCTATGAGGTGCTCTCGAATCCTGACAAAAGGCGAATTTATGATCAAGGTTAGTTATATTCTGAGAATTTTAATAATTTAAATTATTGTAATATATTATTTACTTAATAAGAGTATTAAGTAATGCACTTTTCAAATTTATTGTTGCATTTTTATCTTTTAATATGAGTATGTAGTGCAAAAGTGATGCTCACATAACTTTTTGATCTAAAGTGTTTTTATAATCACATATCAGGTGGTGAGCAAGCATTAAAGGAAGGGGGTGGTAGTGGTGGTGGATTTTCTTCACCAATGGATCTCTTTGACATGTTCTTTGGAGGTGGATTTAGTGGAGGTAGACGCCGCAAGGAACGCAAAGGCAAAGATGTAATTCATCAATTATCAGTAACATTGGAGGAGTTGTACTGTGGCACAGTCAGAAAACTGGCGCTTCAAAAGAACGTGATCTGTGAGAAATGTGAGGGACGTGGTGGTAAAAAGGTAAAACAACCATAATTTGTTAACACAAGACCAATATGAGAAAATATTTTATGCAGACATCATGGCCTAAATGATATAACACTCAGTGTACACATATCAAGAATGTAATTGTGCTGGTATTCAAATATATAATAGATGCTGATTTTGCAAAGCAAATATGAATTTAACAGGTGGTCATGAAGATTTTCCACCTAAAAAAAATAATAAGTGTATTAAAAATCTAACTACAGTAATTTGATGGTTAGGGCATATTGCAAGATTCAGAGGGTGGATTCACTGTCCTACTTATTTCTGCTATGAAGCAGTTTATCAGGTATCTGGGTACAGAATACATTAACTTTGAGGCTTAAAGTTATGAGTTCACAAAGAAAATTATTTATTTCAACATACATTAAATGGAAACTATTAAGGTAGAAAAGCCCCTAATAGTAATCGAGAAGAAGATTTACATTTATGCAACACTTGGAACCCCCCTTGTATTGTAAAGATAAAATCTCATCTTAGACTTCTGTGTACAAGAATATTAATATAAAAATATGTTTATTATTAATATTTGACTTTTGCACAATATTCAAATATTGTAAAGATTAAATTTAATTTATGTTGCAACAGCCTTCATTTTTTGTAGAAAATGCTTTGTTCCATAGGATAATTAAATTAGTTGCCAAATCATCAAAATATCTATAACTTGTTATATAATTGGAATAAAAGAAATTGTCAATACTTCAAAAAGAGTTAGGATTTTTTATTAAAACCCTTAAACATATAATCAAGTATTGTCAAACCCTGCCAATAGAAACTGTGTATGGTTATATAAATCTTTGATACTGATTTTATCATAGTACTAACAGTATTAAGAATTTTATTTAGTTTAACCAAACTTATGCTAAGATTTAATAAAAATAAAATGTACAGGGTGCAGTTCAAACTTGTCCAGTGTGCCGTGGTTCTGGTATGCAAGTACAAATTCAACAGCTAGGCCCGGGTATGATACAGCAGATTCAAACAGTATGCTGCGAATGCCGTGGACAAAAAGAGATTGTAGATCCTAAAGACCGTTGCAAAGTCTGTGAGGTACGCAAAACATTATTATAAAATCAAAATAATTTTATTTCAGATATCAGTTACTAATTTTCATTATCAAGATCTAGAGGCAGTTAGCCTCCCTGTCTTTCCTTAACAG